GTAACATGGCCAGCCGGCTACCATACGTTTGCTCAGCTGGCAAGAGGAAGGCATTTGGAGCTGAATTACTGGATCCAATAGTAGTACAGTATGGTTTCGGAGGATGCATTAGGTAGAGAGGTGATTGACACAAAAAGTTTGTCATACTGGCGAATTCGCTCTAAATGAGAGACGAAACGTTATCATCGCATTAACGGCGCCCCTCCACCGTTTCTTATTCAACACTCCTGAAAACATCCTTTTACTAAAACGATTGAATATTGCACGGACTATCCACTTGAGATGCGCCATGTACCTGAGCTTTTATCAGAAACTTAATGGGAATATGAATGTGCGCCAATTCTTCATCTCGTGGAGTTGTAGCTGCTTTTTTGCGTATTCGTGTTCATACAAGCCGATGGTCGATGCGTGGAAGAGCATTCGCTTTTTGAGGCCAGCACAACCATGAGAAAACTCAACTAGAAAACCTGTGTTGTGGGTGGGCAAGCGACTGTAGCAGACATATACCATTGTTGGTCCCCACGATTGGCGTCAAATCAAGGAAAGCCAAAAAAGCACTTATGGAATAAGGAAAGCCGAGAAAATCCAAGTACGTTCTTCCTAAGGTGTCATTCTATCTGTCTGTCGCCTGTCTGGCTACCAGTCCTTCTGTCTGTCAGTCTGTCTGTCCGTCTGTCTGTCAGTCCATCCGCCTGTCTGTCTGTCTGACAGACTGACTGACTGACAAGAAATCGGTATAGGTCAGCCGATACCGATCAGAACAAATTCCTTGAGTATTTCACGGGTAACACATATCGAGTCAGAACAACAATAACATTGAAGCTTCCGAAGTTTGAAATGGTCAGAAGAGAGTCTCAGGCTTAGACAAATGATCCAAGAGTTTGCGAAAATATTGATTTGAAGCGTCAACAGCCTAAACGTAAACTCTCCCTATCCTCATTGTAGATCATCCAAATCTACGGGAATGAAGTTGGTAAGGATTCGGTGCAGTGGTATCGATCGACTCCAATATTTTGCAGGTCGAATTTTTCTCCCCTCGCTCCTATCTCCTATTACAAGTGGTTTTTCCTCAGAACATAGTTGCCGAGGAGCCGAGGAGGAAACCCGGGGAGTTACCGGCTCTGAGAAGTGTGGCTGTAGAATAAGACCATAGAAAAACATCTCACTTCTCCGAAATTAGTCAGACTCTCTGGACCTGGACTAGCTCTGGTCAAGCTTGGATTACTAATGCGACCAGTGCTTGCGGTTCTGGCCACTATTTTGCTATATGCACTGAATGAGAAATCTATGCCTTTTACATCCAGAATGACCGGGCGTTATCATCTCATGTCAGGGCAAGGGAAGACCGAACTTTTCTCTGCTATGAACTAGTTTGATGAGTCCCGCTGAAAGCCCATTCTCGCCTTTACGACCAACTGAAATGAAGTTTTTTCTAGTCATAAAGAGTTCCTTCTGGATTCCCCAATGCCCGAAGTGTATTATGCCCCGACGTGGGAGCTCATCCAGTTTCTCTCAATAGTGACTGAGAGCTAAGTGATTAGGGTGATATAAAGCCGGAGTTTTGTGATGGCGTACAAAGGGTTATTAAAGCCCGTAATGTTTGGGAACAGAGATGGGAAAAAGTTCTAGAGATAGTGGGAATAGCAGTCAGCAAAATGGTCAATGAGTAGTATCAACCATTTTTCGTACCCCTCTTGAACATTAACCTTGACCATGAAGCCTGGAACTGCTACAGCACAGCAACTATCAAGAAACCTGGTAAGCAAGCTCTTTACCGCCCGAACTCCAGTCCCTCTCTTCAAACGCCACGTAACTGTAACTCAGATGAGAGATTTAGTAGGTTACTGGTTGACGTGAATAAGTTCTTGGGATGACAGCTATCAAGTAGCGATTTCTTAGGGCGAAAGAGGTTAGGATAACTCCATTATGAAGATGGTTCGGGTAGTAGTATAATATTTGGTAATGTTATTGACAACTGAGTTTCCGCACTGCTGGCCGTCCGAGTTTCAGTGGGATGACTAGCAGAGGCTTATCGCTCTGCATCCGATGGGTTCAGTTAAAGGGTGGGAATACTTTTATAAAGTAGTACAAAGTTTAAGCTTTTCAAAGACTAATTGGAGAAAGCAACCTTCCACAGACCTTTACATTTGGATGTTTCCCATACCTACTAAGCCTTGCCCACCTTCGAGTCCACTAATTGGTGCCAGATTCGTTTGCCAGGATAAATGTACTGGCCTCACATCAGCTGGACCACACGCCATTGTAAAGACTAACACACATTCAGACGTTAGCAGAATCCTAAATGAAAGTGGAATGCGCCACCCCAAAACTTGACTGATAAACCAAAAAACTCGTCCTTTATATCTTGTCCTTTATAGTCACGGAATTCTTCTTGATTGCATTATATTCAGAACAAGATCGTAAATATAAGATTGCTAAAAGCTAGTGCTGTCGGACGCTGGGTCCTAATAGAACGCTATTGTCAAGAAGGGACCTATCCTGAGCGCTGAAGAAAGGTGTATAGTAGATAACGATAAATTGTACAGCTCACCTGCGACAGATAACGCTATAGGCCGCTCAGCTTACGCATCCCTTGATAGCCTCCACACTAGAGATCTCGTTCTGCCTATGAAGATAGCTACTTCAGCAGCAACTGCAGTATTAGCCTAGATAAGTGGATCTACTCAAAGGAGATAATTGAATTCTTCAGCCAAGCAGTAGGAACGGATAAGATCCGGATCAAACTGCATTTTGATTTCAATGATTTGACATCTCAATTTATTCAGTCCATCAACAAGTATATCAACAACAAACAGCGAACAAGCAACAAAAAATAACAATTTTTGGTACAAAACTCTTCGATACAACCCTCACTATGGTCCAGAGAGAACACAAAAATAAGAGCTCCCTTAAACCAGCTCCAAAAGTCTACTTGCGGTTCTCTTGGAAAATATTGGTAAAGTGAAGAGTCAAGTGGTCCTACATCAATAAAATACTTTAAACAAACTGGAAAATTCAAAAAGCCCCGGTTTAGTGTCGCCCTCTTCCTCTTGCCGCGCGTGACTTCTTTCCGCGACCTTTCGTCTTATCTTTGCTCTTCATAGCACGCAGATCTTTCTTCATTCGACTATAACCAAGAAAAGATTGCTCACAAACGTAAGCGCTGATAGTAAAAAACACTTCTTGCGTTAAAAAGGTATAGGTAAAGAAAGTAATGCCACAGCAGGTATCTCGTTATGTAAATGATGGAATGACGGTGGAAAGAACAAAAATTTTCAACGCACCTGTCCACAAGCTTGTATCTCCCATTTGGCCTTGCAATCTTTCCTTTCTTGCCTTTTGTCATCACAATCAACTCTGTTTTCTTATGGTCTTTCCGATGAGCAGCAGCGTAGATCCTATATTCTCATTTTCTTCTTTTCAAACTCGGAAAATCTTTGTTGTACGGTCTCCATTAAAGTGTTCCTTATGAGTTGAACTAATCTTCAAGCCAAAAATGAACATCGGGCAATACGAGGTGTTAAGCTTTGAGATACAGCTGAAAACCCAGATGTATGGTGTTGCGCACATACCAAAGTCTCATGATTACTCTCTATGATTATAACCACCTATACGGCAGCACTATAATTCCTATTTGTGGACTAAGTTTCATCGAGCTATGCTACCGAAAACGATCCCAAGTTTCTCTCGTTCATAATTCTTGTTCTTCAGTGTATTTGAGATCATTCTATAAACCACTTACCTTGTGGACGAATTTGGTGCCACTTGCTTATATGAACACTAAGGAGACAACTTTTGTAGAGCTCATAAAAACTTACTTCTTCATTTCTCGAACCTTTTCTGAATGTTCAAGGTTCTCGTTTTCCAACACACCTTCAGCTTTTTTCTTTGCAGCTTCCAAACGTCGCAATGCCCTCAAGTAGAACTATTTTATCGGAGATGCTCTTAGAGCCAAAGAAATTGGAAAAAAAAACATTAGGAGGGCAATAGCCTCCAACCAGTCTTACTTTCTGCGTTTTCGCTCTTTTGCTTCAGCCACTTTCTTGCACGGTCGCGCATTTAATTCTCTCAACCTCTTTCGGTACTCTTCCACTTGCGCCTTAAACATCAACTATGTCAAAAACTCATGTGAAAAAATAGAATACAAATCCTTTACTAATAAGAGAAAGCGACAAATGCGCTCCTGCGCTTTCCTACAATCAGCTTCTTATACTGTATACATCGCTAGAATTTGAAATAAAAAGCTACCATGAAGGGGTTCAAGTGAAAAGACCAAAACAGTGACGCCATTAGCCTCTTAGTACCATGAAATCAAAACACTATGTCAAAAATGCGCCATCTGAAAACCACTTAAATCAAAACTTCAAAAACTACCAACCTTTGTGACGGGTAACTGCTTTCGATAATGCTTCTTTTCATCTTCAACGAACCAGTCCGGAAGTCCTTCATCATTATTCGTATATCTGAAGTAAACAACATTTTACTTTGGCGACCAATCAATTTTCGTCGCGAATCACCTGTTCCAGCCCCACTCCTCCAACTCTCGGGCTGACTTGCTCGAGTATATCAATTGCTCTCCGAGGGCTAGCTGTTCAGGGGTTAGACGACGTTTCTTCGCTTCTAAGTAAAATTAAAGTTGTAGAGACGTGAAAGCACTCATGTAAAATAGACGAAACCTCACAATATACAAAAACGTACTCGGTTTCAGGTCCTCGTCGAGTAGCGTTTTCGGAGCCTCTCTTTTGGATGCTCGCTTGTCTTCTGAAGATGAACTAAGAAGGGGTCTATTTCAAAGATTTAGCTATTTGAACATACCCTCTTCGGACTCTTCGTCCTCCCAAGCCATTTCAGCTGTGAACCGTGACTTAGGAGGCGAATTGTCTTCAGGCTCAGCATCTTGTTCTTCGTCTTCGTCTGTCTCTTCCCCGTCCTTTTTGTTAAAACCGTCGTCGTCACCATGCGCTTTCCGCTTCTTTCCAGATACATTTTCGTCATCAAAGGTGACTATAAGAGATTCTATGGGCAATCAGCTCATGAAAAATTTGAGGTGATATGCACCTACCGGTGTTGGCGTGAATATTTTTGCTCATTCGCTTCATATGTTTCTCTATCACATCCAACTCCTCATCGTCGTCTTCATCGGATAACAATCCAGCGATTTCTTCCTAAGAGAAAAAGACGATGGAGACCATCAACTGGGGGGTAAAACAAATTTAAGTTAAACAAAAATAAAAGAAAAAATAAAGAGCTGTGAGGAATAAGGCTTATACTACGCCGTTTAAGACGACAATATCATTCAATTATTACAAATCCAGAGAAACATTGAAAGAAAAACTTAACCCATTGCGTACCGTGCGTGCGCTAGCTGCCGCATGTGCCCGGCGTTTTCTTCGAAATCGACGCAGCAGTGGTTCAGAGCGTGCAGCACGCAGCCACACAGAGCGGCTGTTTAAGC